TTTATGAATTACAACCCATGTACACTTGTAGTAGGATAAACCTTCAAGATTTAAATACAAAGCACAAAATTTTAAATACAAAATTCAGCAAATAACAGTCAAACATTAAATAGAGCTAGGAGATCCGGGCCCCTATCTTGGAAAATGTTCTTGTCATGACCCAAAATAATCGATGAAATAAACATCGGACTACGATCACGACAGAAAAAAAGGCTACTGGTAGAGGAATTAGAACACAGGGGCAGACAACGAGGCCTATAACGTTATAATTGCAGGCCTATTCATTAATCTTCCTATGCTGACAAAGATCGATGATACCTATATTGGGTGGGTAGACAAAAAAAGAGAGAACTGAACCATACCAAAATGGATACACTTTTAGTCTCGCTTGAGCAATGTTTTGGCGTTTTAACAAGGTATGCGATGTTTTTAGAAGTTATACAGTGCGTGTTAGAATGGCCAAAAATTAATTTTCCTGGCAGTTTCAGCAATTTTCTCTTTACCACCAAAGTGTACTCTTTGCACTGGCTATAATACGATTTGTAAATCTGTTTGTGTTCTTGATTTTTTTTTTTATTTTACCGTAACAAATGAAGGTAACCAGATTCTAAATTCATCTCGTGAATGATACAAAAGCTGAAAATTTAAAATTCAAAAATGGGCGCATGGATCGCAATTCTGTGAACGGTCTTGGATGTAGCATACAATACATTGCTGATTAATAGAAAGAGTTGAAATTTCCAGGGAAATCATAATGATTATACATAAACATTTAATGCTCGTTGTACACCTTCGATCATTGTGCTTGGATCCGCTTAACTGAACACGTCCGTCAATACAACGAGGGACTCTGGTGATAATGGCCTTGATACTTACGAAACTGGAAACTGATGTCGTGAGTCGGTCACTATTTCCGTAACCATAGTTATCAAACATACAGCTGTGCTTGGCAACCTTTGTATAGGAAATGTATGCAATGCTTTTTAAAGCAAAACTACAAAATAATAGTAATAATAACGATAATTCTATATATAGGTGAAAATAAATCTAAAAATAATACGGAATGCAAGGTGCTTGAAGTCTAGATTAACTTTGTGGCCAGCAAATCGTTTATACAGTTTTTACTGGCGCAACCTTATTCCGAAATTGGGCCAAGTTGTTTTATTTTTACAAAGCGTGAATGTGCAATCTAGTGAACAGAGTTAAATTGTCATCAAAAAAAAAATAATAATAAATAAATAAATAAATAAATAAATAAATAAATAAATAAATAAATAAAAAGACATGAAACCATAACATTTCATACGTTTTTGCATTTTTCATAATAGCAAAAAAAAAAGAATTTTTTCCCGGAATATAATGAATACAAACCTTGGTGATTAACATCATGCAAGCATTAATGAAACGACAGATCGCATGACGAAACGATCAACAACCATAATTCGTTTTATTCGTGTTGAAAGGAAGGCGCTTGGTGTACAGAACGCTGACAGAAAGCAACGTTAGGATGATTAATTCAACGCACATTTTATGATCTCAGAGACTCGGAGGGAAAGATAACAAATTGGAAGCACGACAACTGAGTACAGAACGCCGAGTGATTAACAAGCATTGTACGTGCACGCCGAGCCAGTTCGATGATTCGGGGCCATAGTTTTCCATGGCAAGTCTGGGGTTCTCAATAGAGTGAATAGACAGAGGGCACCGTCTTGGGATCATGATCCTACATCTACTCATCTTTTGCTTTTGTCTTGAGCGATGCTACACTTTAAATGAAGGTGAGACAAAACACTGGAACAAACGTCAAATGGTGAAGTTCATATTGTAATTGCCCTTCTCAGTTTGAGCCATGTTTGACTACGATTCAAGGATTGTCTTGAATTTGAAGGCAAACACAGGCTAAATTTCCTCAGTTACAGTTTCAGTATCAGTATTAGTTTTATTGTCATTTTGTGATCAAAGATTAACAACACTTTGACTTCATCGTTAGTTTAAAAAATCAGTCGTTTTAACTAAAATAATACGGTGCCGAACTGAAAAATTTCATAAATATAAATTCTTTGAAGTTTGGCGACATGTTAAGTAAACCGAAAATTGAGTATATGAAAATATGAAATACAAATTAAATAGCATAACTTTGAAGCATATCATTTATGAAAGTGTCTGATGGTAATTTCAGGTTCCATGCCAATGCCTCTTGGATTTTGGCCGCTTGATTCCGCTTTCCAAACGAAGGACATTTCAGGTTACGAGAATCACGGAATCACGGCCTGTGAGACCAACGGTTCAATCCCACCGGGTTTTACTCAAAATCCCTTATTTATCACGTCATCTTGCTATGTCCAGATTCCCAATAATGGACAGTTAACCATTAACGGTTCATTTACGTTCCTTTTCGTCATGCGGGCGAACGACCCTGTAGCCGCATCTTCCATTATAACCTATACAAACGAACTTGGAAGCAAGGATGGTTTCTTTATTACTAAATCCAGCAATTATTATTTGGTATATTTCAATGGGTACACAGTGGCTCAAATTCTTATAACGAGTATCATCGATATGCAATGGCTGGCGTTTGCCGTAACCTATAATAGTTCAACCGGGTATTTGAAATTAAAAACTCTGCATCTGAAGACTTCTGAAACGTTAGACGACTGGGTGGACACATATATTTTAAATGTGGGCTCCAGAAGGCCAGCGACGAACTATCCATATTTGTGGATAGGTGGTGAATTCAACAGTGTTTCCTTATACCCTCTGCCTCCATTCGTCGGGGATTTTACATGCCTCCAAGTGTATAATTACGAACTGACAGAAATTGAACTGGTCACTGCTTTGAGCTATTGTGATGACGCTAGTAATGGTATAGATGAATCTCTCTCTCTCTCTCTCACACACACACACACACACACACACACACACACACTCACACATATAAGACAAATTTTAAAGCGATCATTTTTTCATTTCGTTCATTTTGTTTGTAATTGCACATTCAGTACAAAAACACACACGTTCACATAACGTGTATTGGTGTGTAATCTTTTTTTTTTTTATTTCTGTAGTCACCTTTCCAAATGGTAATGAAGACCATACAGGTCTTTCAAGTGATACAGTGACTGTGGAAACAATTGTTACAGACACAGATGTGATTGCAACGGAATCATATTATGAAACAACAGTGACGCTCACAAGCCTGGCTACCTCTACGATGGTTTCAGGCTCTTTTACTGAAACCACTGAGGTATTGTTGACATTGTCATCTTCATCAGAAACGCCGTTTCACAATTCCGCCGAAACACAAGCTTCAACTTGGATAGAAGCCACATCTGGAACTGAAACGTCAACTAGAACAGAGAGTGGAGCAGAAATAGAAACTACAAACGCTATTAGCTCCCCTTCTTCCGCACCAACACCTGAAACACCCAACATTTCGGATTCACCGGTCGTGACAGCGACTTATGAAGCTCTGTGCGTGGTGGTCCCAGTTGTGGGGAACGCAACAGCAGCTGGGACCTCTCTGATTTCTCCTTATATCGACGTGTCCATCACATACGTGTGCGACGACGGCCATCGGTTCCCCGGTGGACAGAGGTCAGCCACAACACGCTGTACTGGTGTCGGCTGGAGGCCCGTTTTGCCCGACTGTGAAGGTGAGCTGATTTCTTTTATCCTAATGTTTTTCTTTTTTCAAATGGGACATCCCCAGAGGAACGGAAACAACCGTATCACTTACCCGCAAGGTATGGCAAAATAGCCTTATAAATGAAAGCAGTCTTACTTCTAAATATTTTTTTCGTATTTTAGGACCAGTTAGCATGCCTCTGCAAATGTTGATTAGTGAACACTATTCTTATAGATCGTACGTGTAAAGATAATTACTATTAAGTTTATTTTGCACGGTCTGTATCACTTATCCGCCTAAAATATTACCAGGCTCTCAATTTTCAGCGCATGAAAAAGTGCATGTCCACTCTGAAGTAAATTGTGCTCATCAACTTAGAGTGAACCAAAGTATATTGGTCTTTGGTTTGGGCTGAATTTTTAGTCAGAAGCTGAAAACGCCCACAATATCAATCACACTTTAAAAGTCAAACACCGGGCATGCAAAAATAATGAATCTCATATAGGATCCTACTATTTGTAAATCGGCCACCATTATCCGAAGAGAATACTGCCCGTCGCGGTTATATGAGCATAATATTAAAGGATGAATAAAGACGGAATGCAATCCATCTTTGTAGTGTTTCCACGTTTCCGAACGTGCGTTTTTGCCAAAGCGTTAACTGGCTTTGTTAGACAAAAACAACTTGGCCGAGGAAAAGGGTTTGCGCTTCAAGGAATATCAAACGTGTGCTGCAGCCCGTGAAAAAGACGTCGACAGACGTTGGGAGCTATGGAAAACAACATTTGTAAAAGATACTGCAACATTGCTGTCGTGCATTTTCTTGTTTTTAAGCTTTTGTAAGGATTGTGTCATAGATATAAATTGATATGGCAAGCTGGCTTTCCTTTTTGATGTCAGTTAAATAACATAAACTTCGTTCTCTTCACAGTTTTATCATAATTCTTAACAATAAAACTTAAAATATATAATTTTTTAGTCAGATGCTTGGAACCCAGAAAAATTCAGAATGCAGTCTTTGTGTCAAACTGCACGGATTACATCTACGACTGTCGTCTGCTCTACACCTGCGTGAATGGCACGTTTTTCCCAGATGGCGCCACAGAACGCACAGTGCGATGTACAGAAAAAGGGGTCTGGAGTGCGCACCATTTGAGTTCGTGTACAGGTAAATCCTCATACAATAACTAAACACGGGCCTTTCTCGACTTTAGCTATTTGAACAAGTACATTTTAGCCAAATAACAAACAATTTTAAAATTTACCTTTAGCTCTAATTACAAATAGAAAAATATATATATATAGTAATGTAAATAATAATACCAAAGCTACAAGATAAAGTAACTGTTACAAAAATTCGTTTTCACTCTTAAAGGCTTTCACTCAACATTTCAATGTCAGCATAGATTTTTCGCTCACGCACATTAAAATGTCGTAATACTGACTATTTAAAACGAATTACTAGTATACAAATACTGGATAATTGTTTTTTTTTTACCTCCCAGATACTCAAATCGATTCAGTAACCCCCAGACCCCCGGGCTACCGTAAAGTCCCCCTGGAGGCCCCGCTGAGAGTCCTGATACCCTGCGGGACATTCGCGATCTTGGTTATATCTTCCATAGTCGGTGGAATATTTCTCAGCGATATTCCAACATTGTACAAGCACTCCAGGATAATAAGGCGGTGGATTCGAAGAAAATGCTGCGGAAAAAAACAAGTGATGCAGCAAGTCCCAGGGTCGCCCCTTGAACCACGTTTAAGAACTGGGCATAACACTAGACGAGCTTTACAGCAGAAGGATTTGCGGGAGTAGAAGTATCCAGCCATCAGCGAATACAAAACCATGTTAATCTTATTTTCATTTCAATCAAAGGATATTATTAACATAGCTTGAGCACGTACTGTGGTAAAGGCCGATACAGATGAGGTGGCAAGTCCGAAATGCGCTTCAGGAAATACTGGAAAAACAGTATCTGCAAGAAATCGCAAAACTAAACGGAACAGTCTTCACAAGAGTGAACGATCACAAGCTCTTATAGTAACTGCAGTGGAGTTGAACTCTCGAGCCGAAAGCACACAGAGTACAAAAATAACTCTGAAATTTTGTCTCCATTACACACGTTCACGGGGTTTAGAAACATTTGATAGTTCTCGATAGTATCAAGTCCACCGCCTAAAACGCACTTAAATAAAGAACAGCTCCCGTAGTCACAGGCACGTCAACATGCTGATAACAGGGCAAATGAAAAATACGATTCAGAAAAATGTTCTAAAATACACCATATCGACATTTATTTATCATGATGATGATCAATGAAAAAGGCCCACTCAAAACACACTGCGCACGGTAGAATTTATATTATATTATATTACATTTACATTATATTATACAGTAATCTAGTAACATCTATTTGCTTGTGTAGGCTGAAATCTAAACTTTCTCTTTTTTAAATAAATGACTTCTATAACATGGGGCAAATGCACCCCAACAAAGGGAACTGGACATGGATACAACTGTGAACACCCGTAGTTTCACAGTTTACTGAAAACTCATTTCGTTTTCAGCCTCCAGCAAGCGCCTGCCATTTCCAATCCAGTGAAACCCAGGGTGCTTCACAATTTTTTTTCCAGAAAACCTCAAAGTAAGAAAGAGGAGAAACACAATTGTTCATATACTCTTGCTCCTAGGATAGAAATTTGTGTTTGGCAAGTCATATAATCAGAATTCCCAAATTCTCAGGATTGGTGTTCTTGTGATTAGACTCCTCTACACCAGCATATTCTTGTGGCTACTGATACCGTGATAAGATGAACTTCAGGGTAACCCTTGTCATCCACTGTGTTACTCAAATAAATACACACATCAACTTTGTGTTCACACATGGCAAATGTTGCTATTGGTATTTTATACAGCCCAGTATCTACATAATTTTACAGGCAGGAAAGTTAAAGCTGTGGTAGCTGATTCAAATGTTTTGCCCTCTGACTTGTATTTCGATGCAGTATTAACAGCTTTCCACAAAGAGTTGCGCACTAAGCTTGCAACAGGACAGCGTCACATTTCCCCAGTGTAAACACATGTGAATTTCACCCCTATGTGAACTGGCTTCCTAGATTTTCAAGTGGTATATCTACATAGTTCTTTTTGTCCCTTCTTATTTGAAGTTTGATGCTAGGTTTAGTATTTTCTGACTCAGTATTTTCAGCCAGTTGGTCCTTTGGATTGTTTACTACAAGTTTTAAAGCAGCGCCTTTGTGGAACAATTCCCGCTCATGTGCTAAAGCTAACTGCGACACAACTCTCTTCTCAACCTGAAGAAGATAATGGGAGTATTTATAAAGTGTGTTTATAACATATGCTGCCATTGTTTGATAAAGCACAACACAAAGAGAAATATATATATATCCGTATAAATGTTTACAGGGTAATGGATTCCCCATGTTGTATATTTTAATACATCTATTGCATAAACAAAATTTTCTCTTGTCTCTTATGTAGTTAACTTCAAGAATACTTAGTGTAAAGATTTTTTTAATAATATCCTCTTTTGTCTTTATTATATAATTTTTTCATATTTTCATCAAATAAAATTCTAATTAAGTGTATAATAAATAAATATATTAGATATGTATGTGTTGATAATAGAGTTTATGCATTTGCAGGAAGTGCATATCATCAACATTAGCCAGCAGTGACAACAGAAGTAATGATAATAGTTCTAGAGTGTATTTAGTAACTGTAATCCGTGAAAATGATCACAACTGTACCTCATGTTTAATAGACCTTGCCCCATAGTGGACATCATAACCATCTGCCAGGACATCCACTACCTGTCTGTCCCAGCTCAGTTCTATATCATGGTTCTTCTTTGCCTGTGGTCAAACAGAAATTCTGTTAGAATTGTGATGCCACAAAACAGAAAAGAACAGCAACATTAAGTTGATGCCACTCTGTTAGGTTTCAATTATTTCATTATCATGTCAATGTTATTCAAGAGACTTTTAAGATTGATCTATTTAACTAATGTTACATTTTCTTCGTTTTCTTTACTTCAAAGAAACTTTAATAATTTTAAATATTAGTATTATTTAAAATTCTGAATAAAGTAAATCCACAAGTGACTTTAAACAATTTGTTCTGCTGTAAATTTGAATCATGAAACCTACATTTTAAAAAATAAAATAAAATAAATGCAAAATAAATGCAAAATATGATAAATGGATTTAATAAAACTTTTAAAGCCTTAAAAAGACAGATACTTTAGCTGCCCAGTACTCCAGCTCCCAGACCACCAGTTTACTCAGCTCTTGTCTTGAAAAAGGAAGGAAATACACCATCTCATTGATTCGGCCAAGGAACTCATCCCGACCAAAATGTCTCTGGAAAGTTACATAAAAATTGTTCCAAATGATATGCTTATCAGAAGGAAAAAAAGCAAAAATGCGTCTATTAAAGCACGACTTCATAAAAGTGCACACAAATATTTCAAATTGCTGAAAAAATAATTTCTAATTTTGCATTTAGTGAATCAACTGCAAAACTTCTTTGATATTTAATAAACAAATTAAACATTTAAGCAACAGGAATAAATACCTTTAGTATTGGTTGTACAACTCTCTCTTTGAATTCTTTGGAGATTGTTATTTGGCCTTCATTTAATTCATCTGAAAATTGCAAAATATTGGAAATGCTATAGTTTTATGATGATCAAATTGAAATTTACCCTTCACTGAGATCAATTATTAACCCTCTGTGTAATCTAACATGTAATATTATCTGAGTCAACAGGACCTACAAAGTCAATGCATATGCATAAAGGTGGCATCTTGATTTCCCCCATCACTGCTGTAACAGATTAAAACACTGTAATGCATACTTTGTCAAGATGACTGAATATGTTCATAAATTTTGATCTAACTTGAATGTTCATACTTAGGACCATTAAACAAAATGGGTCCAAGATTTATACTTTACTCTCAGCACACATTCTCTCTCTCTCTCTCTCACAGTATATGTCCATTGAAGTTAATGCATTTAGTACCTATCTTCCCTGCATCTCTTTTCTTGGTGTATTCCCTGGCCTTCTCCCTCAGCTCCTGGCCGTGCTCCCCTATCTCATCACTGGCCAAGTTGGATGTCATGATGAAGATGGCATCTTTACATTCCACTGTCTTGCCTTTCCCATCTGTCAGTCGGCCCTTATGCAGAGGTATACATAAACATTATGGATTCTCCAACTTTAATTATACAAATTAAATTAATCAAATTTAGCTTGATATTCAACAAATACTTAAAAGAAAGACACATTTTGTCACCTTTTGCAAGCTTTTGTTTATAAATTATCTCAAGTTACTGGGAAATAATATATATGAATATAAGAAAAAGTAATAAATAAATAAGTTAACAAACAAACAAACACAATGGAATAAAAAATCAACAAAAACATGAAATACAATTTACTTCAGTTAGTGAATCAAAACATAGTTTTTGACTGCTGACTTGTATCTTCCTGTTACCTCGTCAAAGAGCTGTAACATAATGGTCAGTATATCTGGATGAGCCTTGTCCACTTCATCAAACAACACCACAGCATTAGGACATTCCTTTAGCTTCTTGGTCAACTGTCCCCCTTCATCATGGCCTATATATCCTGGAGGAGAGCCAATGAATTTGGCAACCTAAAGACAAGCAAAAAAAGCCGATTCTGTATGTGATACGTTTCATTGGGGAAACGATTCTTAGAGCAACTTATACCATAATAACACTTCTCCCCCTTTCCTCATTTTAAAAGAATCATTAAGAATAACTCTAACCTCCCCCCCCCCTCTCTGTTACCCATTGGAAACAGTATACAGTTTAACTGAAAATGAAAATGCAATGCCAGATGTATGAATTCACATTTCAGAAGGGACACAGTAAGCTGAACTTCTTTCATAATATCATTTTTCAAAAAGTCACTAATTACATGTTGACAAAACTTATCACCTACCTCATGCTTTTGTTGATACTCAGACATGTCTAACCTGATAAAACCCTGTAATATAAATTTATATCCATAAGCTGGTTTGATTTGTATGATCTTTTTTGGCAAAATTCCTCTATATTTGTTATAAACATTTATGGAACATCCAGGAGTAGGAAGACAAAGGTTAATAGAAAACTACAAATATGAGTGTATATATATATTTGGTAAAACACGCCAACAAATGTTTGCATCTTTAATACTCTTATATTTCACACACACAGGAAGATATGCTGTACAGTACAAATCTTGTGTAAAGCAAACCTTTCTGTAATCCTTGTGAAGATAGCGTGCCACCTGTTTGGCCAGCTCTGTCTTGCCTAAAATATACAACATATAATAAGTCAATGTAGACAAAGAGCATAGAGATGACAGCAAGATATACAATTAAAACTCAAGAGAAACAAGAGTTTCATTTCTAATATGAATCAGAGGTTAAAATTTCACAACATCTACCAGTACAGTTTCACAGTTGCAACAAAACATTTCTATTGAAAAGTTCCAGGTCTAGCAAGAGCTTGGAAACTAAATTTTACTGTCAGGTGAATTTTCATACAAATGGACACAAGTATATTTAGATGTTTACCTATTCCTGATGATCCTAGGAATAACAAAACCAAAGGATGCTCCTCATCATACCAACCATTCTCCTTCCTTCTTATAGCTAAAACCATGCAAAAAATTCATATAAAATTGCTTATTTATATAGCAGCTGATAATAAGTCAACAAGACCTAAAATAGTGGACATTATCAAAATTTTTTAGCTGTCACATCCGGCACTTACTCCAAACTTAAAGTTAAGATGTTTAAAATTCTTTTTATTTTAAACCATGTATGAAGGATATTCATACACCTTGTATTATCAACAATATTCTGTTTTTTTTTTTCATAAAAATGTATTACTCCTGATTTTACCTGCAGAAACAGCAGTAATGGCACCCTCTTGTCCAACTAAATGTTCTCTCAGCCTTTGTTCAAGAGGGTAGCGTTTTCTCTGCTCCAACTCTTTCTTTTTTACTATTACTGCATACTAGGACAAATGAAAATTAAAAGAATAAAATATTGATGAAAAATAATGATTTAGTGAAAAATGAAAATATTCCTTACAAATTTTTACACTTTCGACACCCTGACAATGTATTCATTTCACTGTCATGGTATATACTGTACTATTTGTCCATACATATCAGAGAACTTTATTTATGTTACTCTCAATGTCATATCT